CGCGATCACTCTGCCCTCACTCGACGCTAGCCATGTGGTAAAGCTCCAAATCTTAAAAATGTCATCATCTAGATAGATAGATCCTAGCTTGCGTGCTTCGGCCTGACCATAGCGTAATATTCCCCATGTTGTAGAGATGAATCGTAGGTCCAGTCGAGTAGATATATAGAATATATCTTCGCACGCAGCAGGTCTCAAATGACTACCGCTCTCTTGTCTCGGTGGGTGAATCTCATCTCCAATCTCTTGAATATACTCATAGAAAAATTTGGGGTGATTCCAAAATGTATGTTAATATATAGATTATGCACGGTATTATATATATAATGGGTTTCCTACTATCTGTGGGTGTTGGATTTACATTTGTGGTAGGTTTATGTTACTTTGATGATGGTAATCGAGTCAAGCATGTAGTGATAAGCCTGTGTGGGAGATAATCACAGTCTTTGTAGTGATATGTGCAGTGTCACTCTGCCTTTATTCGGCGAGTGGCTATTAACCCTGCGCTAGTGTAGTGAATGATTTGAATTCTTTGTTTGGTATCCTCACGACCAGACACCTGCATATTGGAGTGCCTCTCGGAGTTATTATAAAAATATATGACAACAGCGAGAGTGTCGCGATAGATGTGTGGTGTAGGTATTCGTTGAGTAATATATGTGTGCCCATTGGGGCAAAGTACATTTGTATGAAGAATACTATGTCATGTAGAAGTAAGTGAGTAGCAGAGTTGAACTAAGCAGTTAGTAGCGCTCTCTAGATGCCTCGTGATCACGAGGAAAAGGTTAGGAACGGCCACGCGAAGATGTCGTTGGTCGTTAATACCGTTTGTGAACTCAGAAGTTGAATGACCCAACTTGCCATATATGCTATAAACAATTGCTTCCGTGTGTCAGGTCAGGAGTTCTGGATTGCGGAAGCTTGGTTTTTGTAAAAGCGTTTGAGGAACATGTGCTTGTAAGAACATATGGATAGTGATACTAACAGTCATTTGGAGGGAGATAATATCATTTTGAATAAGAGCCAAATTAATTAGGATATAAAAAAGGAAGATGAAATAATATTTTGGTGAATAATTTCAGAATAGATTTGTTTTTGGAAGAATATTGTCTTTAATGTCCAATAATCTTATTTGTTTCATTATCTGATCAAATTAAGCCATATGGTATTGTAACCTTATATATATATCAGAATTATTGGAATATAGAAATACGAGAGAGAAATTAAGCCGGATGAAAAAATTGCCTAAGATGTTACTTTGATGGGACGAAAAATCTGAAACAATTCGGATGAACAAATACAAATTATACATAAATTCTATAATCAACCTCTCAATGGCGCGAGGGCACTAATATGATTGTAGACTTAGCTTCAGACTACATTATATGGTGCCGACATGTGATTTTTGTATGGGAAAATTTACTCTCAATTTACTCACAATAAACTTCGAATCACTAAGCTAACGGCGATGTTCAAATGTAGTTATACTGCCACTCTGATATGTTGTTTTTATGTTGGAGCTCCTCAACGGGTCATTGCCCATCAGATAATATATGTGACTTAGAAGTTGCGTCGGGTGACTTCATAAGTATAAAAGGTTAAGATTAGAGGTAAATATGTCTCTTGAAACCGATATACATCGAATAATATTTAGTGACAGTTTTCTGCGCACGCTTTATGGTGGGTGAGCAAAATGGGGCCCCTATGATTATTGCATAATAGGTCTACCGATATTCTGCCACATTTTTGGCAGAGAGGGTTCTGGAGTGATGCACATGCAGAGTGTGAGGGTAGATACGCGCGATGGAGGATGGCAGTGGAGGGAAGATAGACTACCGGCCGCGGGTATGCCACGCAAATGTTTCAGGCTTCGTGCACCAAAGAAATAAAGGGCATAGGGTATCCAGATTTTTATCTAACATGCAAAAATTCATAGAGGTTCGCATGATCGAGTAGTGAATTGGAGTGAAGAAGTTCGACGTAGAATTGTAGTCTAGAGACAACGCTAATCACACGGCTGTTCCTTTCGGCTTTCTTCAAAGTGTTGTGGATTAATATCGAGCCCCTAAGTCAAGCTTTATCAAGTCCTTCAACCCATACTTGCGTGAGCGGAATATCTAGCAATTAGTGGTGGAATCGGTCTCATAGCTCCTTGAGAAACAAAACTTACGCAAAAACCATGGCCTCCAATATATCTAAAAACTCGGAGCTTACGATACTTTGGTCTGGGGTCGATTAGGACATGGCTCAGTTTATACAGCATCCTAAAATTGATCACTCAAATAGGATTGGATCAATAAGAATTGGTGACGAGCTCAGAGGTTATACCACCCTCTCTCTAGTAAATTATTATAAATGCCGTAAATCTCTCACGATTTGACATGGTCTGGACGTTTTTCTGCTCCAGTCAGTTTCCTCTCACTATGTTAGTGTAAATTGACAGTGAGGTGAATCTATCACATCTCATTATAGGGATAGTGAGTGCTGTAAACCATAATCGAATAGCAAACGTTCCTGGGTGTACTGTATACAAGGAGAAGATAACGTGTTGAGAGTATACTGCAAGTCCGCAGCATAGCCATAGATAGATGATGCCTATATCAAGTGTATAAGGCCAATAAATACCACCATCTCTGCTGATATGAATGACCTTGCTGAATAGAGAAAAATAGATAATACTTTTTAGCTCAAGTGTTACTTGAATTATTAATACTCTTGCATATATTCCAGATCACTTAATTCCACCATAGGTCTTATCTATACTGTTATTCAGACTTCTCGAAACTTTTACGTCGCCCTTCTCCCACTAAGATATACTTATATTAGGAAAAAATTATCTCTCCTCATAACACTCGGGATCCCTTAATTTCGACGAATGATATTCCTGAATATGGTTTAAATTACCCCAATTTATCTCAATATTGCGTCTGAAACTCATGGATCTAGACAGATTAATTTATTTTAGCACCAGAGAAAGTCGTATACCTACTTTTGTGTCAAATAACCTATCATCTTTTCTTGAATTTGTTTTAGGCTATAACGTGTAAGCAGAATATATCTTCACGTATTAATTACTTATTTCACTGTCTCTCAATATACATGTTGATATAGGTAATCAATTTAGTTTCTCATGAACACCACTTATCATAAATAAAGAGGAGAGAGTAGTTGCTCTATGCTAGTCGATTGGTATGTTGTCATTTTCTGAGTGGAGTGTTTATGTAAAGTAGTCAATAGTATGCGGCTAATTCACGACTTCAGCCATTCAATTATAATCATAAGGAATGCTGTTATCAGTTATGTGTCTATATTCTACTCCTTGGAGACAGGGGTTGCAAGTCAATTTTATCTTCACTTATACTGCATGTTTAAAAACTACACCTATGTGTGCCAGTGTAAAAGGGGAATGACATTCTTGCTAGACTCGTAATCAACTACCAGAATACCCACTGTATTTTCTGAGTTAATTAACTCTTCATTTCTTTGAAATTTTTGGTGTCTGGATCTCGCACAATTAAGTCGAGCGATCCACTGAGATTGTTTGAATAAGTAAGCTGATGAGAACAATACACTGATCTCGCGATTATGTTAAGGATATGTGCGAAGAATGTGAAAATTCTCTCACACACGCTCGCTCCTCTCAAATTGGGCGATTGCATTGCATTAGACACCCTCAGTGCATCGGAGAATCATAAGATCTTGTCACTTTTTATCACAAGTGTATGACTTTTCTTTATATGCTTTTGTCCTCGTTAGGTGGTGCTGGATTGGCTTTACGTGCTTAGTAATATATCCCTAAGCAACTCTCGGCAAGTAGGCTGGCACATGAGTTATATTTGCATGAACATGTATGGTCTCGCAACTAACCCATTTATATGGAACAGTGAATGATTTATAAAAATTCCTCTCCTGTATGAGTGCAAATAATGAAGATATATCTTACCATTGTACAGTTTTAGCATTTAAAAGCTATATATATAGACCTAGAGTTATTGGAGGCCTTACAAATAATTAAGAGTTAAATGCTCATATGCTATCTTTTTATAGTGAATGGTATATATTTTCTTGATGTCGACGTTCCATATAGGCTTTAATGAAATTTTTTGAACGTGAGCTATTTCTTCTGCACAACCATCGATCAACTATGGAGAATGAGGAGATAAGATGTATGGGGTCTCAAAGCGATAGATTACCTTATCGTGATTCACTTATGAGGAGTGAAAATACACGCTCAGAGAGAGATACTAATAAAAGACAAGTACTATACCTTCTTTACTATTATTCTCTCTCATCTTTGTAGTTTTGAGGTGAGATTGGATGTGGAGAGTTGTTGGTGTGTTTTGGACTTCTGTTTGGGGATATGTTTTGACCAGTGATTTGTCTTGACTCATTGCTTAATTACACTTTTCCAGGTTATAGAGCGCAAACTCTTACAGATTCAGGCTGAGCTCAGAGGGTCGCCTCACGGTATGAACAAGAATATCGAGTAGAGATGCGCACAACAATAGTGGAGATCGCGACATGGATCTACGGATACAGACTATAGATCGTAGTTTCTCTCGCTAAGCTCAACGCAGCTAACTGCTTTTGAGTATGTTATGAAAGATAGATATATAGACTAATTTATTCTTTGTACTCTCTCGCAGGTATTATATCAGACTGATATGCAGACACCTTGTTGGCTTATAATACATTCTAGAGAACGCTTCAATAACAGTATTTGTTTGTATTTATTATCACTACTCCTCCGGTCGCTTTCTTGCACACAATAAATGTAGAACATATCTTCCTCTTGCTTCAGTTCAGAAAAATAAACTCACACTGATCAAGAGTTCTTTCTCTCTCTCTCTCGCTCTCACCCATTCCAAAGAACCTGCAGTTAGGTTTCTTCATAGTATATGGTTATCTCACTGACATGATGATATGTTTACTACGAATTTATGCCATAGAGAGAGCAGTACAGAAGTAGTCAGATGATATAAACTAAATTATGTTTTGGTTTGTGTATACTGCTAATTTTCTTAGGATTCTTTCTGTCAAAGTTTGTAATTTCTTAAAAGTTATTTTTGGGTTGCTGAAACTAATTAATTTGATCAGTGTGATTTTTTGTGATTAGGAATTTAGGACCTTGGTAACTTGATTGATTATGAATTTGTGGGTTTATCTCCTAATTAGTATTCAAATTTAGTGCATATATAAGTCCATTTCTTAAGAGGGATCTATTTTGATAAGAAACAAGACCTTTCAATGTGTGGTTCAAACCGTCAAATTCATAAGTCCAGATGTAACTATATTCTTCAAAAGACTTGGCTAACTATGGTTTTACCATTTGGTTATTATCTTAAACATTTTGGTATTTACTCAAAAGCATTATATACTCATTTTCTTAGTTAGTTGACTTAGTAATTTCCTATTTGGGTTTGATCTAGCAAACACACACCCAAGGCTGCATAAGAAGAAACTTGGTGATGCCAAAAAAATCTTGGTGCATGACTCCTAATTGAGATCTGCTTGCTTACTTAATCATTCAGTGTGGTGTGTTTGTTTACAATTTAATTCCTTTTAATTGTGGCCGTAGCACAATTACTTGAATATACAGAAATGAAAGGGATGGTTTCTTGCGATATCTGTGTCCATATGGATTATAGCTGAGTGTAAAAAAATGATGTGATGCCTGCCAGAAATAACAACTCTTTGAGCATCCTAATTTGTGGTGTCTGTATGGATTATAGCTCATTGTAATAACAACTCTTTGAACATCCTAATTTGTATGTGTTTGTCTGAGAACAATTGATTACTACAAAGTATAGAAGTAATTCTTTCTTCAGTGAAAAATAAAAGGAAATTTTTTACAAGGGTTTACCTTCTGTCCAAATTGAGCATGTTTGAGAATTGCTAATGGATTTACTATGTTTGGGAATTTTGGGAATTTAGATCATTGGAGGGCGAAGTTGGTTCCTTGACATTTTGAGGTATATCATTATACACCCTGTTTTTTTATTCAAGGCTTAATCAAGGGGATATCCTTATTTTTGGACTTTCTCCTCTTTGAAACAGAGAGTTAGACCTCAATTGTTTGTGGATTCTCTAATTTCTGTGGTGTTTGATGTGTATTTTTTGGTTTTAGTGTTTTATGGATTTTTGGAATTTGGATTTAGGCTAAACTATTTGCACAGATTTTTTTTATTTTTTTATCATTATTCATTTCCCAGTGAACTACTATTGCTCAAACAATATGGAACCAGCCGAGTAAGAAATAAAGGCTCCACATCATTCTTTGGTATTCTTTTTATGGTTTCTATTTCCTTGCTGAGAAAGGAACATTTGTGGAACTGGATGGGAACCTTCATTCTTTGTCATGTAACTTTTTAACAAGACACTGCCAATGTTGTGGATGACATTATTTTGCTTTGCTGGCTGCTAATTTGTTGTGTTTAATTCTTCTTTGTAGCTGAAGTTTTCTTTCGCAAAGCGTTGACCGACTGTTGTACTCATATCTGCGTTTCATTTTGTAAACTTTTTTCCATACTTCCCCAAGTGTATGTTTTGGAATGGTGAAATTTTTGTGATGGTTTCATACTCTGCTGTCTTCAATGCACTGTCAAATCTTATTCTAAGGATGTTGTTTGAATATGATTTGTTAAGACGTCCCATGATTCACAATTTATGTGTCTTTCTGTTGAAATTATTCATCCATGTCCTACATTACGATTTCAAAATCCGCAGCAGCGCGCGGGCAATTTTTCTAGTAATATCAAAACTACAGCACCGGCCGTTAACTCTGTCGCCACTGTAATTCAAATGCATCCACTCCATAATTTTACATGACTTTCCATTGCCAACTTAACCATTCGACGCGTTTAAAATTTCTTGCTTCGGGCGGCTTCGGGGATAGCAACATAAGTTATGGGTAATATGAAGGAAAATCAAATCAAATCAGCAAATAAAATTGACAAAAATTCATCAAGAACCAAAATTGAGGCAGAACAAAAACAACCCAAATGCAAACAAAAACTAAAAATAAAAAGTCCATACCTTTGAGAATTTGGGGTTCAAGAGAAGCTCGGAGAACAAAAAAATGGAGGAGAGAGGAGCTCTCAGTCTCAGGGCAATCTCCGTCTGGATCCGATTGCTGAAATTCTTTGGTAGCGGAGAGAAGCGATGATGTGTGTGGGTTGGAAAGGCGGTGGTGGAGGCGGAGATATTTCGGAAATATACAAGCAGGGGTCGTGCGGACGGTTGAGTTGCCGCCATAGTTGGTGGTCGGAATTGTGAAGAGAGGTCAGATCCTTTTGCAGTTGGGTTTTACCCGCGGTTTTTTTTTAACAGGTGCACTGGTTTAAGTGAATCAAGTTTTGTGTCCCAACGGGAATATTTTTCAGATAAGACAAAACGATCTTGGGAAAAATTTGCGAATATAAAGAATATATGAAGTCACTTTTGTCCCCATTTTTATTTTATTTTTACCCCTATTTGTAAAAAAAAAGAAAATGATGGTCTTTTAATTTAATCCAATTAGAGCGTTGGTCCTTAACTCATTAAAATGTGTAGATGTGGTTCTTTTCGTCAACTTCATCAGAATTTCCGTCAAAATGAGTCATGGTGGACGGACCATTACTACAATTAGGTTAAAGTTGAGTGATCATTACTCTAATTGGTTAAAGTTTAGGGGAACATCGCTCTAATTGAATTAAATTTGTGGGACCATTGCCCCTATTACCACATTTGATTTTCCATATTTGCTCGTTGGTTCAACCTCACGCACATGACACTTGACTCATTTTGATAGAAGTTGACGAAAAGGACCATAACTGCACATTTTGATGAGTTAAATGATCAATGATTAAAGATTTTTAATGGAGGGACCATTGCTCGAATTCAATTAAAATTACAGGATCATTGCTCTAATTTCCTCTTATAAAACATTTAATATAATAAGTTTTTTTATTTTAATCGAACATGAAGTATACGAAATTCGAATCTAAAACATCTCATAAGCGAAGAGGAACACGTCTTTAACTGTGGTACATGGCAAATGCTTCTTTCAAACGCACTTCAAGAGCTTTTAATTAATTTAAAAGCACTAATTTCCACTAATCATGTCACTAACAAATAAGTTAAGGTTCATTTTATTTTAACCGGTGCACGATGAGCAAAACAGCACTAGAACAAATTGATCATATCAAATTTTAACTCAGTTGCATAAGCGCTAAGAATCTCTGAAATACATCTTCCATTATTCTGTGACTGCCAAAAGCAACACAAGATACACTATAACATCATACAAACACTTAAAAACGACACAATCCATTGACATATTTTGCTAATCCAGTAAGATATCGACTTCTATGTACAGCGTGTGATAACCGGATCATCTAGCGATTAAGTTCTAGAGTTCCCGGACAACCAAAACCATATTCGATACGGAGGTTAGTGCATCACTCCCAATCCGCGTCAAAGAAACCGGCATCTTTCATTTCTGAATAGTACACATTCTCCAAATTTAAATCTTCCTCCTGTTTTCATCCAAACGTCGATTACCAATAGGGAAAGAAATATAACAATAATGCTATAAGAAATGCGTAGTTACAAATACCTGGAAGAAGTCTGCCAGAAATGTTACGTACAGAAGTGGAAGATAAAAGGCGTGATAACAGACAATAGTAGCACTATATAGCCTGTAAATAAAAATTTGAAAATTAATTATAGAAGCTCTTTAGAAATTAAACTATTGGCAACATAGAAACTTCAGACCAAAGACCAATTTACACACATACCAGAATCCAAATCCAGCCCCATTTCCAGTAAGCAAGCAAGCAAACAGTACTAGTACGTTTAACGTAAACATGATAGCGGTATACTTGTAGAATGCAGGTCTTGCTACAGAACAAGAAAAGAGACATCAGAGTTTGTTAAATATCTATGAAATCGATGAAGACATCAGATTTTATTAAACAGCTGATGAACAGTGAACTTACCTGGTAACCTCTCTCTCCACTTGGAATGGTACATGAACAATATGAAGCCGTAAATTGCAGTAATCACTAGCCTGTGGACAACCCACAAGGCCCACTTTGTTCGATGTGCACGGTCATTATTGTCAATGAACAATGGAATGCCAAGTCCAAATAGATATATTGCCTGGAAGAAAACAGAGTATAATTGTAAGTCCGTTATGCACCACAATAATGCACCAATGTGCACTTCCAACAACATATATGTTTCCATTAGTATATTCTTGAAGTAACTAACAAGCATACATAGGTCATAAGGGTGAAAATCCATTTCACGAAAAAGAACGAGCGATACCTTGAGAAGTATATCCAAAACAACAAGGATCCCTGAGATAAAAAAAGTCCGTGTCAAAGCTTCCAGTCCACTTGCATAATTCCCCTGAAGCAAAAATGCCAGCAAGCTTACTTCCAAAAATAGCATCCCGGAGGTTGTGAACAAAGATAATATATTCCATGTTACTTCTTTTCCAGGACTGCACTCCCATGCCTGAACCAAAGCAGTGACAATTCAACCACATCTTAGCAAAACCATCAATAAATGTCTCGAAATGGGAACAACCATCATCCACCAAATCAAATACAGCTAGCAAACCAAGGGCCTTTCTGGGACTGCTTCTACAACTAGAAGGGCAAAAGTGTTTTCTCACAACCAAAAGCACTTGTAACTACATTTGACAGAAAAACTTAAAATGCTTTTGTAGAAGCGCCTGCACTTGGGACTTTTATAAGAAATTCGACTTGTTTATAATAAAAGCACTACTTGCAGAAGTGCTTCCTACCGAAACAGTCAGAGATGAGCCCCAAATAACAATCATACTACTAATTAACAAGATTCCACCAAAACTAATAACCGAAAGCCTTAAACTTTACCCATAACCATGCTACTATTCAGCTAAAAGATTCAAGTTTTAAACGAGGAACAAAGACAAAGCCGCAAACTTCAAAAAGGGGAAAATGAAACACGAACCTGAAAACAGCACCAAGCAAGATTGAGCAAGCTAACAAGCCAGAGGCACCCGTAGTAGGCAATCATGATATAAGAGCGGCCATGGGAGAGCTTCGAGAAGCTTTTTCTCGATTGAAACGCCAAATACAGGACGAAGAGAAGCGAGGGCACCATCAGAGCCACATTGTGGAAGAACCCATGACATTCGCCGAGCCAGCTGTAGAATTCGGAGCCCGAAACGCCGTCGTCTATGGTTGAATTTGGGGCCTGGGTGAGTGGAATTGGGAGTCCGGATTGCGAGGAAGCTTCTTGGGGAGCTTGCATTTTTAAATTGGGGGAAAAGATTAGTCCTAATTTGAGTGGCGATTTGGGGACTGAAATCGAAAACCCTAACCCTAGGTTTTGAGGCTTCAGGGATGATTGGAAAATAAGTACACCAAAGTTGGGTAAAGAAGCGATGACTAGAAAGGTTGGGGAAGTGTTTGGCTGGCGGGTAGGCTTTGGGCTTTTCTTTCCTTTTTTTATTTTATTTTTTTATTATTATTTTATTTTATACTTAGTTAGTCAAGATTATTTGTTCATGTAATACGCCTTCGATTAAAAACAACTTACAAATTTAGTTAAGTGTATTAACTCGTGCATCCCCTAATATCGTTTGCATAAACTAGGAAACGTCCAAATATTGAGATTTGTTTTAAATAATAAGATAAAATAAACTATCTCCAATTGAAAAACTAATTAGACCGAATATTTACTATATGGCCCTCTTTGTCATCTAGAAAAGCATGAAAATTTGATTTGGTCCTCTACTTATATTCAGCAAAAATTTATAAAAGAAAAAATCATAGCCATTAAGATAATTTCACACAATTTTTTTTAACTGTATTTTTCTCTTCCCTCACCCATTTGTCATCAAAGTATAACGAAATTCAATATAAAAGATAATTTACACACACTTTTTTTAACTTCTCACACATTCTTTTATATTTAAGTCATCAGATGGAATACATCGAACAAAATCTTTTATAATGAAAACACCAAAATCATATTGATATTTATTTTGTTTTGTTTTTAATCAAAATCTAGTAATATTTAAAATAAAGTTATTTCAATTTTTAGCACCAACTGGTTCAAACCAAACGTGTCCCAATCAACGCCAGAAGCTCCATTAACTCTTCTCCCTCGGCGCCTCAATCTTCGGATCGTATCCTTTCAGCTTCCCGCTCCAGAATTCGTAAAAGCTTCAAGATTTTGATTCTGTTGGATAATGTGACATTGTTGAGTTTCGTCGAAAAACCGAAGCCATCAGAGTTTAGTTTCTTGCGTTGCAAGTAATAGCACTCCGTTAAATCACGAAATTTGAGGCATTTGGAGCTGCATTTGCCTTCAAAGATTCACAGACAGGTTTCCTTCTGCTCAAGATTTCATCTTCTTTTTTTTTTCTTTTTTTTTTTTTTGTTGATTTTTATGCATGTAATTAATTGCATTGGTAATTTCTCTTGGCGTTCATCAAATTTCAATGGCAGTGGAGGCAGTTAAGCTATGGATCGGATGAGGCCGGTGTATGTCAGGCAGAAGAGCAATAGTAGTGGCGGCACCCCGGGGGCACCAACTTCGCCAATGATGTCGCCAATGAACCACCATGGGAGGTCAGGGTCGGTTGGAATGGTGGGTGCCAGGAAAGTGCAGCACACGAAAGCCGC